AATAAAAAGCTTCAATAACAGAAGACATTTTCACCTGAAAATACTTCAGTTTATCACCCGGCATCAAAACACAAAACAGCAATAATGTAGCGTCTGCCGGTTARCAAACTGTCTCATAAACCACCATAACTTCTGCAGTCAATGTAATTCTAGATGGTCATCTCAATGGACATTATCAAAACACAAAAACAGTTAACTCAAGTAAATTTTACAGATATGGAGCAAAATGCTGATGTGGTAGTAGGGTTGGGCATAATTGTATCGTGTGCAATTAATCGTCAGAAAAACATTAATTGATTATTTTTGGCACTTGACGATTAATACAATTACTGCCAGCAGGCAGAGTCTGCTCGATGCTCCTCTCCACTTCAAATATGACGAACATTGAAAAAGTTCTGTAATTTATATATCAACTCAATATAAAATTTGATGTATAGCCTGAAGTCTGTAATTTTGTCATAATGTATCACAATTTCAGAATCGTTTATTATCATTCATACACAAGATCAAGATGCAGTGCAGAACGAAATTTACAGTTTAGAACAATCCGTCCAGAGAAACACACACACGACAAACATGGGGGGAACGAATGTCCAGGGTCTTTCGCAACWTAGTGCGCTACCTTTGCAGTTTAGAATACACACACATAGGAAGGGTGAGTTTTTAAAAAAAGCTTTGATCCTGCATTTTATACAGAAAAACACACAAGCATACGCTCAAAAAAACTACTCTGCAGACAGTGCAGACAGCTAAGGAGGGGAGGGGGATTGGGGGGTCAAAACATATGGTGTGGGGAGGGATACAGGGAGATTCAGGGCAGACTTCGTGCCGGAACCGATCAGAAGACCTCCAGTCCAAACCAGTTATTATCAATCAAAGCATATGGTGTGGGGAGGGAGCCGGAGAGATTCAGGGCAGACTTCGTGCCGGAACCGATCAGAAGACCTCCAGTCCAAACCAGTTATTATCAATCAAAGCACAGGTCACCAGAGTTCAGTTCTCTGTCTCCACCCAATGCGGCCTTCAGACCGATCCAACACAGGTGGAACTGTGGGGGGGNAGCGACAGTTGACTCCTCCCACACTAAGAAAACAGGAGGGGAGGGGTCAGCGGAGCTCCTGAGCAGCGGAGCACAGAGGGGAGAGAGACGAAGTAAACAAACAAGCAGGAAAATGAAACTTATCGCCGTCTTTTTTTTACCGACCTCAAAAAAAGTTATCGTGCGATTAATTGATTTATTGACTATCGCGACAGGCCTAACACTAATTGATTATTTTTGGCTCTTGACGATTAATACAATTAATGCCAGCAGGCAGAGTCCGCTCGATGCTCCTCTCCACTTCAAATATGATGAACATTAAAAAAAGTTCTGTAATTTATATATCAACTCAATATAAAATTTGATGTATAGCCTGAAGTCTGTAATTTTGTCACAATGTATCACAATATCAGAATCGTTTATTATCATTCATACACAACATCAAGATGCAGTGCAGAACGAAATTTACAGTTTAGAACAATCCGTCCAGAGAAACACACACACACACACGACAAACATGGGGGAACGAATGTCCAGGGTCTTTCGCAACATAGTACGATACCTTTGCAGTTTAGAATACACACACATAGGAAGGGTGAGTTTTTAAAAAAAAGCTTTGATCCTGCATTTTATACAGAAAAACACACCAGCATACGCTCAAAAAAACTACTCTGCAGACAGTGCAGACAGCTAAGGAGGGGAGGGGGATGGGGGGGTCAAAACATATGGTGTGGGGAGGGATACAGGGAGTCAGTGACATRCAGAGCAGACTTCTTGCCGGAACCGATCAGAATTTCAGAATCACAGTTTGGAACAGATTTTTATGAAGAGCAAATCCTTCCCACTAAATTGGTCATGTGACCAGGACATAAGGGAGTCCAGGGACTCCAGGAGATTAATCGTCAAATTAAATATTGGCTAAATACCACAATTAATCGTGATTAATTTTTTTTGCCAATATTGCCCAACCCTATGTGGTAGTAGCTGGGAATTGTGGCCAGCTCTTACTGTGACAACTCACAACATTCAAGGTTTGACCAAAACAGCTCTAACGCCATAATTTCTCAACACAATATGATCCAGGCGATCTTAGTCTGAAACTCTGGCATGAGGCACCGCATGATATTTATTCCTTCAAGAAATGCGAGGCTTCAATTACCTCTGTGTAAGCTACACAAAGTGAGAAATTCTTGCAGTGTTTTAGGTTAAGTGGGAGCTGTAACCCTGCAGGAAGAAGGGAAGCAACAGCTAGAAAATTCAGGGAGCTTTTCAATCATTAAATCATCAAAAAATGATAGTAAGGCYTTTTTTTAAACACTCTGTGAAGCTATAAGAATAAATAAATCAAAAACAAAGAAACAAACAACATCTCGCTTCACAAAAACTGTGTGTGTGTGTGTTGTAATGAGCTGGTTTACGAGATAAACTTCAGAGAAACATACCACAGTCACTACGCAGGATCAGACGTACAAAGCACCGACAGAGAAACAAACAGCAGCGCTGCCAAAGTCTATTTTCAAACACAAGGTTTTGCAACACTATTTTGCCCAAGRTGGTGACAACCTAAACCCCACACAGTTATATAAGAACCTGGAACAATCAAATCTTTATCGCAGCGGTGAAACAATTACAAACCATGACTTAGCAGTCTGCCATCACATTACTGTCAGGGCGCTCAGACCAGAACACGAGCGGCAGCTCATTTAAAGTTAAGCTGAGGCATATGACCAACACTGGACYAGCTGTGGAGTCTCGGAAAATAAAAGTTAGACGCATTGTAGAGTAAAAATGCACATCACAGTGAGTGARGGTAGATTAGATATAATTTACAACACACACCAGTGACATGACATAATAAAGAGGTTTTGTTCCATTTATAARTTTTGCCCCAGTATCAAGATGGCCACTGTGCAATGATTTGTTATGCAATACATTATGAGGTGTATTTATAGCATTATTTAAAGGATCAAATAATTTAATACGTATAATAAAATTACATTATTACAATAATAATMTGAGTTTGGTTCTCCAGTCTGCATGTGTTTTGTGGACCTGAAGAAAGCTTATGACCATGGTCTCTGAGGAATGCTGGGGGGAGTGCCGGGGGGTGCTTGTAGAAGTGATCTGATCTCTGTATAATCAAAGCAGGAACTGTGTGTCCAACTCAGACTCACAAAGGCTCAGTGCAGGTTGGACTCAGCCAGAGCTGTTCCTCGTCTCAGATCCTGTTCATGGTGTTCACGGACAGGATCTCAGGTTGAAGTCATAGAGGAAGACATCTGGTTTGGGAACATCAGGGTCTTGTCTCTTCTTTATGATTATGTGGTTCTGTTGGTGTGTTAGAGCCAAGAGCTTCAGCATGGACCGGGATGGTTTGTGGCGGAGTATGAATCGACTGYGATAAGAGTCTCGCTCCTCTCAGTCTAAGACCATGGTTTTCAACTGGAAAAAGGTGAAGTGCTCCCTCAGGTTTGGGGATGGGTATATGCCTTAAACAGACGAGTTCAAGTAACTATAGGAGTCTTGTTCACAACCGATGGTAGGACAYAAAGAGATGGATTGACAAATGACAGTCTTGCTTTACTGTAATGAGTGCGTTGCTTCAGTTGATCAAGGTGAAGAAAGAGTCGAGTCTCAAAGCAAAGCTCTTGATTGACTGGTCCGTCTATGTCCCAACCCTCAACCGTAGTGTTGAGGCGTGGATCATGAGCCATTGAGAGACCATGGATACAAGCAACTGAAATGAGCTTCCTTCATAGAGTGACCGAGGTTTGACCTTAGAGATATGGTTAGGAGCTCTGTCATGGGATGATCGAAAGGTCACCTGAGATGGATCACACATACGATTATGATTAGATGTTTCCCTTCTGAAATCTTCCAGGATCGTCCAGCTGGGAGACGATATACCCAGAATTCACAGAAGGGATGTCTCTTCTCTGGCTTTGGTATATCTTGGGATCGTCCAGGAAGAGCTGGGAGTGTTGCTGGGAAGACGGAGGTCTGAGTTTCTTTTCTGGACTTGTTGCAACCCGACCACAAATAAGCAGCAGAAGATGGGTAAAATAACAGCCAGCTGTGTACATCTTAGTCAGGCTTATTTCATGATTTCAGGGCTACATTCCAMATTTTTAGTCTAATATCTAATAGTTTCTCAGTCTGCAGGAGGGAATATTGGAAAAGAGGAGATTCTGCTTGTCCAAAAAAAGAAAAGAAAAAAAAAGGGAAAAAAAAAGAGACGTTTCAACATACAGTATTACCGGCAACTCTCAGTAATATGTTGAAACAAGCCTTTGGTATGAAATGCTCCAGGCCCTACATATTTAACTCTTAGCTACACAACAAACACTCCCGGGAACAAGAATCTTAAACTTTAACATATAAACGCACCATTGTGTCAACACCAGGTAACTTTTCGCGACGCCAGTTGAATAAAAAAAAACAAACACTCAGAGACCTGGCAGCCGCTCAAGTTGGCATCGATTTGACAATGACAGCGTGTCTTGTCCGACTTCCGAGACAGACTGAAGAAATGTGGCTTTAACAACCACCGGCRGCCCGGAGCTACAGCTTTTTAAACGATCCCTGTGTTTATTAAGTCCAGAACAAAACCCGTTTCTATCCCGTTCCTCCAGTAAAGCAGACAGCTAGACCTCCGCTGCTGCAGCTAGTTAGCCGCAAGCTAGCTACTTAGCTGCTAACGAAATGTGCGTAATTGTACGGGGTTTCAACGATGTCACTGCGAAATGTTATTTTGACCGTGTTTAATAACAACATAAGACAGTGGGCATAAACGGTATATTAACGTAATAAAGTTTAGCGGCTGTCTGCCTGTCAAGAAGGTAGCATGCACCGAGGAGCGGAGGGCTGAGACCCCGCAACTCCACGATGAGGTACGACAATCTTCTGCGACCCAGCCTAACAAACCACCCAACAACGAGCTCCTCGGGAAGGCTTCACGTACCATTCTCTTCACCGTTGAGACTCAGGAAGAGCTGCGTCGTGGCTTCTATCCATCTATCGGCGGTGCTCTCGGTTAGCCTTGGAAGGAAAGCCAGTTGAATGTTGGAGGGATCCGCTTCGCCTGCAGCTCCAACGGAAGGTTGCTTTTTCATAATTGTTCCGCTCCAGACTGACGCAGCGTAACGAGCCGGCTGACTCAGCCAGCTCCGCGGTCACGTGACTCGGTGCGTGGGGGGCGGGGCTAGAGCGGCTACATCAGAGCCAACACAACTGAAGTAGCCGACAAACTGTCACGTGGTTCACGTTACTCCAAACATCTCAGCGCTGTCAGTCTTTTTGAAAAAATCCGACGATTTTTCTTATTTTCCCCGCGACTTTCGGTAATTATTGAGCAATAAAGTGAACTGATGACTGATTACTTCACTAACACTATACATTTTAGGAGCGGCAGGGACATTTTTCATTGCTTTAGCAGGAAAACTGAGTTATGGGACTGTAAACACATCGTAGAATAGACCACAGATTGTATTTTATTAAAATAAACGTGTACAATACACTGATAAATATAACCGTTTACAGCGGTTTAAAATGACGTTGTGCAAGTCAAAAACTGAAATAATAATAAAGCTATTTCTGGTGTTCTCTGCATGTTGGTTCCAGGATTTACTCCTGTTTCCCCAAACAACCCATGTGTAGCTCATGTCTCTGTTCTCTGCCTGCTGTCTGATGGAAAATGATGAATGACAGAGTTAAAATAAATTAATTGTATATTACCCAAGTTTTAAATGACATGAAGGGAAATGCTTGTATGCTTTGACACTGGGATGAATTACTCTTGTCTGTAGAAGACAATTCTATATTACATTTTTAAATGTAAAAATATAAATATTTGAGACACAGATGCATGTATAAATAAAAGCAATAAAATGAAAAAACAGTAAAATGTAAATTATGTGCTAAAATTCATAATTTACTGGAACTAAGCTGGAAAAAAAAATACAAATGTCAATTAAATTATAAAACGAGATAGTTTTCATTTTTAATTGGTGCATTTTAAATGTATTTATTTATTGATCCATTTATAAATTTGTTATAATTTCTAATGATGTCAGTTTTGGTTCTCCATACTTAGCCACACAGATGAACTGAACAAGCCACAATATTCACAGTTTTGATGATTTTAGGTCCTACCAGTATCCACCTACTTTATTAAATGATCCAGCAGTTTATATGGGACGTTTTCCTATGTACTCATTTTTATGCAAAACATAAAAACTACCAAACAAAGCTCAAAAAGCAGATTGATACTTACCAATTAAATTACCAATACCAATTAAAATTAGTTTAATTCGAATGTCATTTCCATTTCGATTGAAAGGCCTTATGACCCGGCCATTTCGGACATGCCCATTTACACACTATCATAAACAAAGCACTGGTATGAAGAAAGTTTGGTGCGAAATTCTTAAAAAAAAAAAAAAACTTCATACTTCATACATTTAGTCAAATCCACAGAAATACACATTTGCTTGAATGACTCTGTAAATGGCATCTGGTCCCAGATTTTGTTTCACACATTTTGTAAAGACACATTAATATAAAGAGAAATACTGTGCCGATTTTTGTTATTTTATAATTTTTTGTTGTTATGATGTTGCCGCAACACTAACCTGTATGATTACATAAAAATCAGATGATCTATTAACATGTAAAAACAGAACCATAAAGTTGGGAGTATTTCTTAGTAATTTGCTCCCTTTTGTCACACATTTATAAATGCAAAATACATCAACAAAGTAGAGAAAACTGCCCTTATGAAACAGAATGGGAAAGAAACTTTAMGTTTTATTGTAAGGCAAAGAAATAAATCGTACTTTATAAACAGGTTACATAGAAATCTCAGTTGTCAAAATGTGTTACATCATCAGTGGAAGTAAAATTAAACCCCAGCTCCCACCCCTCCCACAACAAAACATCTGTCAAGCACAATATTATAAAGTGCATTCTCATGGAGCTTATTTTTTCTTCCCAGGCATTTCTTTTTTCTTCTCAGGCACTATAAATGCTTTAATTACTCCCTCTGTTCAAGGTGAGTTCAGGCTGTCAGAAAGATTTGATCAATAAAGTGTTCCCTTACTTTGCAAATGTGAAATAAAACTTTTAATAAAACAATAAAAGTCCAGCAGTCGAGTCCACGCTCAACTGTGAGTCAGCAGTTTTCTCCTTCTACGGAGCGGTCAGTTCTTCCCTCTACAAAAAGAAAAAGAAAAAAAGAAATTAGCATTTAATGTTTTATTTTCCTGACAGACTGACAACTAGACATGAGGACAAGCAAGCTTGATGTGAACTCCACAACCCATGCCACGACTCTCCCACGTTAACTGCAATCAACACCAAGCAAAGGATAAAATGACCATGCCGATATTCTGACTACAAACTCCTGCTGATTGGAAGAAAAAAAAAAAAAAACAAGTTCTGAAAACAGAAGATTTTAAAACAAAACTCAGAAACAAAGAGATGAAGTTAATGGTGTTCCAGGGCCACATTAATTAAAATGTTTTCAGTCGACTAGAGACATCTGGTGGTCATTTATTATAACAACACCAAGCATTATTGTGTTTTTTTTTAACATGTCTGTCTCATAATAATATACTGACCCTGGAATATTGTAAAATGGTAGAAAATAATCAAAAGAAGCTGTTAAGAGATGATCAAAGCACAGCAGGAAGTAACATTAATGATAGAAAATGTTCAGGGGAGAGGCCCAGGTCAGAGGGAGGGAAGCACACCTGGCAGCAAAGGTTCCCTGGATGAATCCAAAACCTGGTGAAAATCAAAGTCAAAATCACACACTTCTATTTGTCTCGTTTTCCCCATCTCTTTCCCTCAAACATCCACACAGGCGCAATAAAATACCTGACAAACGTAAGAAGTGATTTGAAACTTTACCAAGAGGAAAGTTGAAAATTAAAAGTAATTTGSCTTGGGTATCTATAATTGTAGCTTTCATTTAATTCAAACAAAAAAAAAGAGGAAGATTTCATGTAAATGTTTATATTGTACAAGAAGTAAAGGACACTGTTGTTGAGCTGGGAAACATTAGGAAAGAAAAAGCCAAAGGACTGGTTTAGAAAACGAAATTAATTTGTAGTTAAAAAGCTCAAACACACAACTGATGCCGTTTTGCCTAAATCACGTGTCGAATTCATGGCATGCGGGCCAAATCTGGCCCTCATTACCGTTTTATCTGGCCCCAAAGTTAACACTTTCAATGTGAAATAGTTGTATGGTTCCTCGTTTTGTCGCTGTATTTAGTGCGCTCTTTCACATGACAGCTGGCCGACTTTCAAGCCAAGAAAATTAAGTTGGATTTTTTCAGTAATCTTTGATTCTGGAGTGGAAAGAGTCACCAAGAACTAAATATTCACCTTTCTGTTTTCTTGTTGACCTGATTTGCTGGATTGTGATAAAACGCATCTCTAGGATGTTATAAATTAAAAAAGTTTTTAATAGAGAAGAAGTCAAAAGAAATGAATGCTAGTTCTAAATTTAATATTTTTTTCTTTATTCATTAAGTTATGTATGTTCTAAATGCTACATAAAACAAATTAGAAAAGGTCATTTCTGTTTATACTAGAATAATTTCTTATATAAATTTTTTTAAATACATTTTGACAGAAATTGGCACTTGAATTGGACCAAATTGTGAATTTTGGCCTCCTTGTGTAACTGAGTTTGACAGCCCTGACCTAAACGTACTGCTTTATTTTGTTGCTGCAAAAATTCTCTCGTACAATTTTTGATTCTTTGAGTTGTGTCTGAAGTCTGACAGCTTTATAGGTTGCATAAATAAGCAATAAATATTACATGAGCACATAGGAAATAAATTGTTAATCAAATTGTTAATTTTACCCTTAATATATGATGTAAGCAAATAAGAAAAAAGTATTTAAAAGGATATTTTTAAAAGTATAAAAAAATGTACAAGCAACCTATAAAGCAGATAAATCCTTTTACAAACTAAAATGTGTGTTTGATAGGTTTTTTGTTGTACTAGCAATCATACGATAGGAAAGGGTTACTTTTTGTGACAAGTGTAGTAATATAGCATTTTATTTTTAGCTGAAATCAAGTACCTTGTTTTTTCCTTTAGTTTGAAGAATTATTTTTTCTTTAATCAACTGGTTTTAATATTCAAATAGCACAGAAGTGTTAATGAATCTCCTGAGGAAATGGCAAAGAATATTTGAAAGCATAGAAATAATCTCAGCTGCCACAAAACAAACAAAATAAAACTTATGGGACATTGTACGTGAAATGGTTTAATTTCTCTCTGCTTGTCGCACCTCGTAGGTGGTTCCGGTCCAGAACTGCTTCATTTCTCCCCTGCACCCGGCCACCACGGCAGAAGTTACTAATGTAAAAGGCACCAAGTAGAGCAGAGCCGGTTGGCCCATCCCTGACAGCAGCATCACCACAAATGTCAGAATCATTCCCAGAAAATAGGCTGCAGGGAAGGATGGAGATGAACAAAAACAAATTAGAAACCTGAACCAGCGTGGTCATAAAAACAGCTTGGCAGTTATTAGTAAAAGAAAAAAAAACATTTATTTATTCTAATGTATAAATAAATGAAACATATGGACATTAATACATCGGTCACAGTGGTAATAAGTGAGGTGTAGCCCCGGGGGGCATCTCTACATTAACTACATAGCACCATCCTCATACATGACCTTAAAGGTACTCCCTTTTTCACTGATGAACTGTAAGAAAACACCTCTTCAATAATCACACACATTTTGCATTGCATTAAAGTTTCTATTCCTTATTTTACACATTTTTTCAATGACTTTAGGGTTATATTATGACCCTAAGCTGTAGCTGAGACAAGACTCATAAGCTCCATCCATCTTTCTCTGCATCTTGTGCAGCTTTATCTGCATGAAAAGAAAATTGGTAATGAAGATTAGAAATAGCTCATCAACACTGGAAAAGAAGTCAGATGTCTAAATCAGAAAGCCACTAGCATTACTTGCAGAGGTGGATATACAGGCTTAATGGGCCTCATGCAAGAACATGTTCATATTCTTATCCTAAATTTCTCTTACTTTTGTTCGTACGAAGGGTTCGTACGAACATGTCATTGGGCCTCATGCAAGAACATGTTCATATTCTTATCCTAAATTTCTCTTACTTTTGTTCGTACGAAGGGTTCGTACGAACATGRCARGTCAGATTCAACAAACTCTTCTATCTTCAGGAAAAGTGTGTAAATGAGCTGCGTAAATTCCACCTGTTCGTATCCAGCTGCTCGTGCACGCGAGAGGAGATTAGCATAATTACCACCCCAAAAACACCATATAAGGCTGTGTTTCCTGCCTCAGATACCAGGAAGTGTCCATTCATGAAAATGACAGCGAAAACTAAAAAGAAAAACTTTACAAGTTCAGAGATTGAAGTCCTGCTGTCAGAGATCCAGAAAAGAAAATCTGTCATTTTTAGCAGGTCAGCTGTGGAATAAAATGAACTGCTAAAAGCATAAACAACTGTGTTAAATCATTTTCATTTATTCAGAAGCCACACCGTCACGCACCGTATTGTTAACCTAATTGTCACTAACCTATTGTCAAGATAACCATGGAGTGTAAATTATTTTCAACACAAAATATCTTCAAATTAATGAAATATAAATTTATTAGGGAGGAAAACTAGTCTGGATAACAGCAGACTGACTGCAAGTAAAATATACGACAGGTCTGGACCACTCGTGAATTTTCTTCGTATCTGAAAAAAATCTTAGAATACGAAAACATTGGTGAATGCCACAAATTCTCCTAAATCACTCGTACGCACAACTTAAGAACAAATCTGTGKGTACGAATGGTTCTTGCATGAGGCTCAATGTTTCTGTGTGACTAGAGTAGCCTCTTAAGACCACAACATTTTAGACCAAATTAGTCTTTTTCTCGCCTAAGAACATGAAAAAGATCAATAATTTCCCCTCTAACACATAGGTTCACTTTCTCCTGAAAGATTTGGTGAAACATTTCTATCCAGAGTGAGTCTTCTGTGGATTTGTGATTAAAGATGTAGATTTTACTTGTTTTTGTACCTTGTACACATTTGTGGACAAAGTATTAAAGTCAGTTTAGGGCTAGTGAGAGTGAATAATTACTGGATAAAACTCATTTATAGATCAGGCAGAAGAAAGAAAAGTACATGGTGAAGGGAAATTGTGAAATTTTAAGCCTGTTTTAGGTTTCAAAAAGACTAGATTCATACTACAATCCTCAGATCTCAGGATGTTAATATATTTTAATACAAAGACCCATCATAAACTCAGTCCTGCACACTGCACATGTACCTGGCACTGCTTTTTAGTGGTTCCTGCTCCTCACCCTGCTCATCTTTTCCTTCCTCCTCCTCTTCACTTCCATGACTGGCATCAAACTCCATGACTGACTCTGGCCTATTCAGCTACCAATAAATGAAGAGCAATGATTTTACAGCACTTTTGCAAAGAATTCACTGCAAATAGGCCTACAACATAAGGAAAGTTCCACACATCACACTCACTGCAATGTGATTTTCTTGAGCAAAAATAGCTGTATCAATGCAGAAACAGAACAAGAAAACAGACTATTTCCTGAAATATGCTTTCTTTTACAGTAATAAATGTGTCTTTTTCTGGTCAGCATGGATTTATTTTAATTTTAGTTGATAAAGCAGATTAAAGATTTATGCAAGTATGGTGAAACCTTGCTGATAGGCTGTGTTTAATGTTCTGTGAGCCCCGAACACATCCAGAAACACATAAACCAAGTCTGGATGGTAGGAACATGGAGACAGTGTTTGCTAACCTGTACTCATGATTTGGTCCCTCCTCCACCTCGGAAAATGTCTGTTAATTTGGTTGCATCTTCCTCTAACCCTGTCTTTTTCTGCTCCATCCATCTCTTTCTCCTTTCTTTTCTACATGTTTGTTCATTTTACCCGCTCTCCTCTCATCTTAAGTTGTGACGGGCTGCTCGCGTCGTGTTTAACTGTTCCACKGGCTGCGCCCGCAGGGGGCGGTGCCACGCGTTAGCTGAGTGGAAGCAGTGTTTTATAGAGAGGGGTCCAGCTCATATGGTCCAGCTACTTGGGCTGCATTTGGTATTATTGAACGGACCGGTGGTTCGGGAATCCTCCCAAACGTCCCTACTGCCACCACGCCCCTAACTGGAGGGAGCGGGGATTTACTCACTGGATCAATCAAGGCCAGCCCGGAAAGAAGCACAAGTGTATAAAGATACCCCTTTTTTACGGATATGGTTGAAATACCCCACCAAACACTGACCCGCACAGGTCCGTGTCTGAACATAAAATACCCCCACTTTCCCGTGTTTTTTTGTACGTGGTTGGTACCACTGGCTGCCTGAGTTGCCCCCCGCCCGGGGGGTGCAGCGTACCAATGCAGCAGCTGAGGAAGTAGATCTTCTTCCTGCTGTTGACCCAAACATCAAACCTGCTGCAGTACGCCACCAGGAGACCTGTTGGTTCAGAAACAACGTTACAGAGCAGAGAAAACAACAAGCAGATGTCGATGGTCCATTTCCAGCTCAAACAGCTGCACGGCGACATTTATACCTCACCTGGAACAATGATGTCTCCATAACCAAGAATGGAGAACTGCATCCCACACAGGTTCTGAGCCCAGGCCGAGAACCGCGGGACACGCATCACCACGGGTAGCTGTTAAATTAGGAATAAATCAATAAATAACGTATACTGGCAGTGGGTTTTCAATGCAAACACAGTCTGAGAACAAACTTGGGACATTGAATGAAWTTCTCACTAACTGCAGTAACTAAATACTTGTGTATTGGTGTAGATTTGTTGTTTGCAGCTAAAAGAACAAAACTAAAAATATATATAATCAGATTCAGCTTAAAGTTTGAAGTTTTAGTTGTGCAGTTTTAATTTTTTTTTTCTTAAGTGAAGTAAAAGAAGTAAAAACAGCAATAAATTTGTTTAAGATGTATCTTTATTTAAAGGCACAGTGTGTAGGATTTGTTGTTTTCAGCGACATCAAGTGGTTGAATCATCCTCCCTGGTCCTCCCCCCACCCCCGCTTCCAAACGCAAAGGAGTTGCTACGGTGTCTCTCAGGTGTCAAAAACCTTTGATAATTCCAACTGCGATGTCTACTAGCAGCTTCAGGGCTAGTGATGTTTCAAGTGGTAAGATTGAGCTTTAATAAGTAAAAATATCCCAGCTACAAAGACAGACAACATATTACATTTATAGTATTACAACTAAAACCGTTTTTGACGCCGCCACCACAATTTGTCCTTCATGAGCCTTCGTAGACAAGATGGTGGTGCAAGATGGTGGCTGCCTGTAGTGGAGACCCGCGACCATGGAGATATAAACAGCTTTTTATAAGGTAAAAACAATAAAACAAGGTCTTTGTCTGCAATGATTAGACATGTTTTTTATTATTGTCATTAATGATTATCTCGATCCTACACACTGTGCCTTTAATCGGGCAAATCCCATTGAGATCAAAGATCTCTTTCGTATGGGCAGTCTGGCCTGAAGGCAGTGTAAACATGCATGTTTTAACTCCTCTTTCCATAAATTTATGAATAAAACTCTCTCCTATCAGTAACTTGTGTAATATGCTTCTGGAGGTAATAACCTATAGAAAGCTTGAACTGATCTAAAATGTGCATGTGTGTTCAAAATAATCTCTAAAACAGGCAGAAAACAGAAAAGGATGTCATTTGCTATCTTTAGCCTAAAATTGTCATGTTATAAACAACAGTCAGCCTGCCACCACCAAATACACAAACCCTCCAACCACTTCAAAAAGACACAGTGTGAAAAAGGAACCACATAACGGTAGGGGATGGGTAACAGGTCTTACTTTCTCAGATGGAGGCTGTGGTTCAGCAGGGATTTCCACCATGTTACCTTGTGTCTAAGACAGAGCCCACCCAACCCCAGCGCATAGTTAGTGGATCAGTCTGTTTGTTCCCCTCAGAGCATCAACAACAACAACAACAACCTGGATGTTATCAAAGCTTCAAACAAACTGACAGGAAACTCCATCAAACTCAGCTTTTAGCCCACTTCTCATAGTGTGGAAAATAAAAAGTTCACACGATTTATAACAAGTTATTTTATCTACACTAAGGCTTATTCAGGAACATAAAGTACATTTTATAAATCTATTTTAAAAAACTGGTAAACGCATGGTACAGTACAGACCTAAAGTTTGGACACACCTTCTCATTCAAAGAGTTTTCTTTATTTTCATGACAATAAAACTTGTATATTCACACTGAAGGCATCGAAACTATGAATTAACACGTGTGGAATTATATACTTAACAAAAAAGTGTGAAACAACTGAAAATATGTTTTATAATCTAGGTTCTTAAAAGTAGCCACCTTTTGCTTTGATTACTGCTTCACACGCTCTCAACATTCTCTTGATGAGCTTGAAGAGGTAGTTACCTGAAATGTTTTTCACTTTACATGTGTGCCCTGCCAGGTTTAATAAGTGGGATTTCTTGCCTTATAAATGGGGTTGGGACCATCAGTTGTGTTGTGCAGAAGGTGGATACAGTACACAGCTGATAGTCCTAATAGACTGTTAGAATTTGTATTATGGCAAGAAAAGAGCAGCTAAGTAAAGAAAAATGAGTGGCCACCATTACTTTAAGAAATGAAGGTCAGTCAGTCCGAAAAAAAAAAWCGGAAAACTTTTGTCCCCAAGTGCAGTCGCAAAAACCATCAAACGCTATAAAGAAACTGGCTCACAGGACCGCCCCAGGAAAGGAAGACCAAGAATCACCTCTACTGAGGATGATAAGATCATCTGAGTCACCAGCCTCAGAAATGGCAGGTTAACAGCAGCTCATTGTTAAGTATATAATCCCACATGTGTTAATTCATAGTTTCGATGCCTTCAGTGTGAATCTACTATTTTCATAGTCATGAAAATAAAGAAAACTCTTTGAATGAGAAGGTGTATCCAAACTTTTGCTCTGTAATGTACCCCCCCACACACACACACACACACACACACTTTAGATAATATTTCCCTCAAGTTTTGATTTTCAGCTCCTTAATTTATTGTTTCACAATATCCCTTAATGACCAACAGTGTCTCAGAGAAGTGAGATTTACTCACGTTTTGTGATTCCTTACGTTTATTCTTTTCTCCAGATTATTTTCTGCACGTTAATGTTAGATATTTAACAAGAAAGAAAGGTCAATGTGAGAATCGGCGCCTCCTCTCTGAGCCATAAAGACAAGAGCYCAGCTGAGCCTGGAGGTAAACCAGACAAAAGGCAGAAAAAACCTTCGTGGCACCAGTTGGTCTGATTGACCTTTTAAGTTACGCAATACTTTTTGAAAGCTGAAATGAAAACCGTCTTGAGGTTTTAATACTAGAACAGAAAAGAGGATAAAATGTTCAACTTAAACACTGTTTGCAGTTCTGTAAGTCAGTAAAGTTTCATAAACTTGGTCAACTTAATGTTGATATCCTTTTATTCTACTTTTCAGGKAGCATTTAACTAAAGTTAAAGTGTCAAAACTAACCTAATATTAGGTTAAAAAAGATCACAGATTGGGACAAAATGTGAGCCGTCACAGTCGCAAGTAGTGAGAAAATAGGCAGCTGATGTCAAAATATGGTTAATAAATGCCTTATCCATGTGTCCTTTTAAGGAAATATTAAAAATATATTCCTAAAGAATGTTTTGAAACATGTTTTTGAGCCGTGCCAACAACTAACGATGATTTTGAGAAGAAAAGCCTTAAATTTTCACTATTTTCTCAGAGCCCTAACAAAGACACTGTTTTCTCTCTCAAATGACAGAAATAAATTCTCATTAGATTACACAAATATAGGATTCAGACATATTAAAATAAAAAGACAAATCAAGACAAGTTTGGAATGGATCACGATATCAGGAACATCTACTTACTAAAATGTAACAAAAAAAAACCAAATCTGAAGATGTGCTTAATTTAGTTTAAGCAAATCTGACTTAATCCCAGATTTCATGTAATGGCTCACAGATAATTTAATAACTATAATCCTATAATCTTCAATCCTGCAAAAAGTCTTCTTTACCTGAATTTTTAAATGAACCATTTATGGGCCATCTTTTGTAAATTTTGAGGATTTTGTGATTATGCTTTAACTTAGAATCCACTACCATGTGCCAGTTCAAAAAGAACAAAAACCACAACAAATTATCCGTTTCTGCTTTTATGACTCATCATAAATAAAGGGCACGAATGCCTCTGGTCATCTGCTAKCGTGTACTGCAGTCCAAACACATCCCTGCAACCTTGATATTGCACAGACCATAAATATTAAGCAGCTCCAGCACCACCGTCACTCTTTGTTGGGGTCAGCAACGAGAGTAAAAGTGTCTCTTTATTATTAGTGAGTTAAAAACATAGGTAAGGATCGTCGTCGTTCAGCATCAAATGTTTGAGTCTAAGTTTAACAATGTTACAACTGAGGTTCTTTAAAACACAGCTTTCACTTTCACTCCTAATTCTGCAGTTTCAATTTTAACCAGCTGTGATTTTATATCTTCTTATAGTCACAAACGAGGATAAGTGAAAACAACAGGTCGAACATTTTATGTCATGAAAATTAAAGTTRCCTCTCATTTTACAAGCCAATCAAAAAAAAAATACTGTACCTTCTCTCCGGTAGCATCAGGGCCGAGAGCTACCTGCACCATGATGCTAACTCCGTTCTGTTGAGAGGAACAGAGGCGACATCATCACATCGTAAAGTCAACACACTTTGCTCTGAAACTAAAGAGAAACTAAAGAGTTGTCCATAAAGATCTCATAACAACTACAGAGCGACAAAGAACTGAATAAACAACAAAAGTGTGGAAAAAAATGTTTATTTATTTAAAAACAATTAACAATAAAATACTGAAGAATAGAATAGAATAGAATAGAATAGAATAGAATAGAATAGAATAGAATAGAATA